ACATCTCTGTCTCCATCTCCTCCAGAGCCTCCTCTCTCTACCCGGAACTGTCATCCCTAGCCCTGGACATCACTTTCAGTTTTTGCTCATTGCAAAAGATCATCAGCAGTTTCCATTTCTGTGAAGTTACCAAAAAAAAGAAAGAAAGAAAAAAGGCCAAGCATTGCACCCAGCTGTTGGTGAGGCCGTGTTTTCCACTGATGACAATGACTCATAGTGCCCAAGCTGAAGGCTGGAGCTGGGAATGCAACTTTGGAGAGTCAGCACAGCCAAGGGAAAGCCACAGTTCTCAAGCATGCCTAAACCTGCAGAGAAGAGCTGCTTGCTTGAGCTCCCTTGGTAAAAATCCCAGCACCTGGCCATGGGAACACAACTCTCCCTGCAGACCACCCCAAGGCCCCACAGGAGCAGGACCAGGGACACACCATACACTGGAGCCAGTGAATTCTGCAAAGCCCCACAATGTATCAAGGAGATTATATTAGGAAGCCAGGGTCCCACCTCTGAAACCCCAAGAAACCCCACAATCCCCCAGGACTACGATTTGCATCCTTGGCTTCCAAAAAAGAGAAACCAGCTTTCGGTAAATGGGAGGCCCAGATTAAGATCTTCAAATAGGGTAGACAAAAGTTGCCCCCTATCTTTGGGTAGACAAATAATTCACCCAGAGGCAGGAACAAGGAGGGGAGGGAGCCTCTCCTAGGATGCCACTTTGTGGTCAGCCAGTGAGAACACCTTGGGACATGACTTTGGATAGTATCTCTCCAATTTACTCTAACCCACCCCCTGGGAAACTGTCCCAGGTTCCTCAAGAGAGTTGAGCATAAAAGACCTATTGGGGTCCTAATACAGCTGTACTCATGGATAGGGAAGCATTCTCCCACTCCCACATTTGAGGACCCTGCAACGGTGAGACTGAGCAGGGAGACACAGTCAGGAAAATTCAGAGGAGGGAACGTCCACTGCACCGTCCGGGGTTCGGGGATTTACCACTTGCATCAAGCACTGGCAGTAATGAGCATTGCCCAGGGAGGCCACTGAGAACACATTATGTTGAAGGACCCATCAGGAAAGGGAAGATAATCAGGAGACTTAATCCCCATAATTTCAAAATAGGGGGTTGGGAGAGGTTTGGGATTGAAGTCCACTGTCAAGGCTGGTGGTTGGTGTGACAAGCACTGCAGTTACATCCACATGGCTCATCAGGAGGTCTATGGCCTCATGGCATGGAAAAGGAAGGGCCACTAGGGCAGGCCCATGGTGGGGTGGCCTGCCCTTCCCTGCCACATCTGCTAATCTCCCTCCTACTCCGTTCCCTGCTCCCATCTGTCCCCCAGGCCCCAGAATAAACACCCTTTACAAGTAGCCCACCTGACAAGAACCTCCAAGTCACCAATGGATCCTTTTGTAAAAACCTGACAGTTTAAGACCACCTCCCGTGGCATTCACATTTAGTCCCACCAGAGACAGTGACCACCAAACCTACAGCACTTTTCTTGGAGAGGCTGACTTTTCCACGGCCAGGGCCTGGGAGAGGCATCTGCTACTCAGGATTTTTCATTTCATAGGCTCAGCTCCAACCAAATCAGCAAAGCACTGTTACTATGGACCATCTGCCAGGACCCGGAAACAGCCCTGTTACATAAAGGGGTTGGTATAATGAAATTTATTAAACTGGATTCTTCCTCCATAAAACACACAAAGCACTTTAAGTCTCTCTTAAAAGAGGTGATGTAGGGCAGTGGAGGGACCCTGGACAAGGGGCCCCTTGGTTCTAATCCTGGCTCTGCTATTAGCTGTACAACCATGGGGACAAATCACCTTCTCTCCCTGGGCATCTGTTTTCTCAAATCTCAAATAAGGATGACATGGTCCCTTCCAGCATTAAAATCCCATGATTTATTACTGTTTTTGCCAAAATGGCAAAAAGAAAATTAAGCTTGCCTTGATGTTAATTTTGTGCTATAGGGTTAATTTTCTAAAAAAGAATAGTTTCTACAAATGTGTGGCTGAAAGGGAACAAGTGGTGAGTGGAGCCCCTGCCTCTGGGGCTGGCTGGAGGAGAATGTACACACAGGAAAAACTGAAGGCCGGGACCTTCTATCAGCCCAGACAGGAGAGGCCTAAGCAAAACCCAAGAGAGGGTGCGGCTGGGGAGCGGTACCGTTAACGACCCCTGCCTCCGCACACAACACTTTTCAGTTTAGAAAGTGCCTTCACACCCATGATCTTGTTTGACCCTTACAATACCCCCAAAGTTGACACGGTGATGTTGACCCGCATCTCATCCTGAGCAAAGTGAGCTGCAGGAACTAGGTAGAGTGATCTACCTAGCATTAGGATGCCTCCTAATCTTTTTTCAGTTTCCTCAAGTGTAAAATGGGAGCGAGTCTCACCTGGCAAAATTTCTGTATGGATTGAATAGATGATGTCTGCAAAGCCCTGGCAAAGTGCCTGGCACACAGTATGCTCTTAATCAATGTTGAGTAACACCCCCCTCACACACCTACATCACCTTGGGGAGATGTAGGGAGAAGCCCCAAAGCTGCTCATTTTTAGGCCCTGAAGAAATGCTTCAAGATGAACGGTGACATGATGGCTTCCTAAGCGGCCTTCCGTGTGGCCTGCGACAGCTTCCCAGAAGAAAGACCAGTGAGCTGGATGACTCCAGTCCCCTCCCATCTCATGGATTCTCACAGTCCCCCTGCCTCTGGGTGAAGGGGCTCCCCTGAAAACCCAGAGTGCCTCGATCTCAACTACAGAGAAGGGACCTGAAGCAGGAGGCCTCAGAAGAGGGGTCTGCAGGAGCCCCGAGCCAGGGGCTTTCCTCTCACTGCGCATGTTTCTCACACGCCACACCCCGCACGCCCTTCAGCGGCTCCTTCCACTGCTCACAGAGGAAGGCCAAGCAAAAATCCACTCTTGTTATACCCAAAAGTCTCCAGTCTCTTCTCATCTTACCTGGCCCATGTCAAGCAGGGTACCCTTCCCACTTCTACGGTTTTGCTCACAGTATTCCTTCTGTCTGGAATGCCCTCCCCTCTCCTCTGCCTATGTAACAAATATTTGTTGAACAAACAAGTGAAGGAATGAAGGAAGGAATTGTGAATGAGTGTATGATATAATACACCCCTGTGAGGCAGACAAATTGGGGATTATGGTTCTTATTTTCAGATGAGGATATTTAGGCCCAGAGAAGTTAAATGACTTGCCCAAGATCACACAGCCAACAGACGGCCAAATCAGAACTGGAACACAGCCCTCCAGGGCTCTTTTGGCACATCAGGCTCCCGCCTAAGGTACAGAGAAAGAGTTGATTCCCCCAAGATTCCTCAAAATGGGCCACTTTCATTTTGGCACACACTGAAAGCACTTTAAAGCCCTGGCTGTCACTCTGATTACTGAGTGTTCCCATGGGACAGACAAGGTCCCCTGAGAAGGGCAAGCACAGTGCCATCTGTCAAGAACCTAAAAATGATGGCAAAATTACAGGCCAGTAACTTAATGCTCATTTTTAGAGAGCTCCTGGAACAAATCAATCTCCACCAGGAAAGAGGAGGATTCCTTGAATGGAAACTGAGCCCTCTGCCAGGTACCTCCAAGACCTTCCCAAAACCATCTGGTGAGCTTGCAGCATGGCTAGTGCCCCCAGCCACTGTGGACAGATGGGGCAGCCCAGGACCCAAGGCAAGGCCTTGCAGACACAGAGGCAGAGCTGATCTTAAAACCCTGGGCACCAGGCATCACTGTCAGCCTCAGGGAGCGGGGTCTCTCTGCTCTGGCCTTCTCTGAGAGGGCAAGGCCACAGGGTGTACCTCCTGAGCACAGCCACTGGAAATGGCATAGCTTCCACATCCAAAAACTCCAGCTGTTCCAAGCCACCAGCACTCACTGAGCCTCTCCCCTGTCTACATCAGGTGACATCCAGGGGTGAATAAAACAGACCAAGTACCTAACCTTGTGGGGCTCACATTTGGTTAGGAGAGAGTGACAAAAAAGTAAGTAAACAAATAACGATGCTATGATTTCAGACAGTGAAAACTGCTATAATGAAAAATAACGCAGGGCAGGGAGTAGAGTGTAAGAGGCGACATTTGGACAAGAACCAATGGAAGTGAGGCAGTAACTATGTGGGAATCAGAGAGAGGAGCACTACTGGCAGAAGAAACTGCTAGAATACAGACACAGAGACAAAAGGTGTTTAACCATTTCTCAGAGGGCTTGATACCACCAGCCACCACTCCCTACCCTGCTCCATCAACACCTGCCCTTTCCTGCCACATGGCCTCCTCTCTCCAGCACCCCCTCCCACAACTGCCCCACAAGCTTCCTCTAGGGAAGAGAGGCAAAATACTTGTTCCTCCCTGCCCTGAAGCCTAGGAGGTGGCTATGGACTGAATGTTTGTGTCCCCAGCCAATTCATGTGCTGAAATTCTAACCCCCAATGTGAGGGAGGTGGGGCCTTTGGGAGGTGATTAGGTCATGAGGGTAGCACCCTCATGGATGGGATGAGTGACCTTATAAAAGAGACCCCAGAAAGCTCCCTCACCCCTTCGGCCATGTGAGGACACAGTGAGAAGATGGTCATCTGTGGACCAGGAAGTGAACCATCACCAGACACCAAATCTGCTGGCACTCTGATTAGGACTTCCCAGCCTCAAGAACTGTGAGAAATCAGTTTCTGTTGTTTATAAGCCACCCAATCTATAGTGCTTTGTTAGACCAGTCTGAACTAAGATAGTCACTTGCTATATTTCCAGTGAGGTCACTTTGAGGGGAGGTGGCATGATGAAATGAGTATGAGCTTTGACAACAAACAGAGCAGGGTTCAAGTGTCTGCTTTTGCTTCTTAACTAGCTATGTTACTTTAGACAAGCTACTCAGCCTCTCTGAGCCTCAATCTTCACTTGGAACTCAAGGGAAATTACCCCCACCTTAGGGGGATAGAAGGAGTACGTAAGTGGCAGCACCTGGCAGAGCACCTAGTATACAGTAAGTGCTTGGCAAACACTGGTCCCCTTCCCTACCCTGACCCCCTTGGGGACTTAAAAAAATAAATTTATTTTGTTATTCAACCAATTGTGCTAACTTATGTGTGCAGCATGCCTCCAGCAAGTCTTAGGCCTGCCTGTTTGTTGGGTGTGGGGCTTAAGGGATGACACCAATCCCATCCATGGCACAGCATGATGGGAGGCCTTGGCCCAGAGAACTAGAGAGGAGAACTGGGCAGGGCAGAGGGAGCAGAAAGACGACGGACACTGCCCTTGCTGTGGATGGGAGGGTGGAAATCATTAGGAACAGACCCTCAGAGAAAGCAGGAAGAAGGCAGACATTTACTGCTGTCCCTGTCCCTTCCCACATCTGGCTCATGGGCCCTTGCTTCCTGGCTCTCCCATGGGGCAGTCAGCTAGACGCTAAACCAATCTCAGTTCCTCTCCAGAGCAAGGACTATCAGGTGTCAACTCATAGTGAGGCCTTAGGCAAGCCCTCTCTTCCCTTTCTGGGCCCAAATTCTCCTAACCATACAAAAAGGGGAGGCCCTGGGTGACCTCTAAGGGTCCTTTCAGTTCTGACCTTGCTAATCCTAACTCTGGATACTGCCTACCCGCTTCATCCCCCAGGTTGTCTGCCTTCCCACTGCTGCCATCTGGTGGCCTCCAGGCCCAGCTGCATTTGGCTTTGACCAGGACCAGGTGCTCTTCGTGGAATGTACCTACTTCAAAAGAGTGAATCTTGCTTCTGCTTCAGGTGAACACACACTGCACTTCTCAAGACTACAGATCAGTGGATATTCATTGTCAAACACAAAAACCAAATATGACACCAGAACTTCATCTCTTTGGTAGAGATGTCACAACTGCAACTGAGAGCATGACCTCCCTTCCCAAAGACAGGAAATAACCTGCACAAGGTCACAAAGCTGCCTGGCTCCCAGGCCACTGCACAGTTTTACTTTACCACAGTGTTTAGGGCAGATGGGCATCTGCAAACCAAAAATAAAGGCAGCCTAGGGCCAAGGAACAAAGCCGTTGGAAGGTGGGGAAAAAAAACTGTCAAGATTCCTCAAAAAATGCTAAGGTATGGTACGTGAACAAGCTATGAATTGCTTGCAAAAAGTCATTGGAAATACACACTTGGGTGTCCAAGGTGTCCACTTAACTGTGGAGTTCAGCATTCATAAGAACACCTTCAGGGTCTTCCATTAACCAGCTTCCAAGCCATCGCCACAGCCCAGGTACTAGGCTAGGCAGACCACCATTCCATGGGGAAAACACTGAGGTAGCTTCATGTGCTTCCCTTGCCAGATGTGAGCTCCTCAGGGCAGGGTTATATCTTTTCTTATTTCCAGGCCTCTTCACATCTGGCCAGAGGAGCTCAACAAAGGTGTATACAGGTAGATTCTTTAGGTTCCTGCTCCATCATGGGACCTCTCCACTCTGGGGACTCCAACTGATCACACCTTGGCTACATCTGCAGCCTTCTTCTAAACTCTATAGCACAAACCTGGAAAAGTAGGTCACTTGCCTGTTCAGGCCTCTATCATCTCACATATGAAACCTAATGAGGTTTTGCTGGGTGATCTTCAAAGTCCTTTTAATTCTAAAATGTTAGAATTTGAAACGCCCAAGGCAAATCAAAGCTACTCTTCACCTGCAGACAGAGATGATCTAACAATGGGAAAGTAAACAATGCTTCCCTCTAGTGGTTCAGTGCTGTCACTACACCCTCCTGGATCAGTGCACCTATCACTAAATCCCTGCTCAATTTCACCCTAAACTCTGAATAATAGAAATCATCCTGCAGCCAGTGGAGCTCAAGTGCAGAGAAGCCAGACAGAAAACAAGGAGGCCAGGCTCAAGGAACCAATGAGGCCTCCTAGCTGATTCCACAACAGTAGAGAAATTCCCCATCTTTTGGAACAAGCATATTTTGGAGCTCAAAGGACCTTTTGTGACCTCCAACTCCCCTCTTCAGATGAGGAAATTGAGGAAGTTGAGCGATGTGCAGAAGGGACTTGCCCAAAGTCACAAAGCTGACTCATGATTGAGCCAAAAATAGATGCCTACTTTCCTGCCTCCTGATACAGTATCTTGCCTCTTTTCCATGCGACCTCCCAACGGAGGCCCATGGGAGTGACAAGTCAAGGACATACTTGTATACACAGGAACGGATGGCAAAGGGGCCAGTGTCTTGCACTGAGGGGTAATCGATTTTATTCATTAACTTTAAAATAGCATTGATGAGGGATATAATCAGATTGAAAATTACATATTCAGCATAAAAAAATTTAAAAAGGAAATAAAATTCACTCATAATCCCACCAGAAATAATATTGTAGCATATTTCATTCTAGTCTTTTCTACAGAAACATCTTTTTTTTAACAAATTAGGAGTTATAATGTAGTAACACAGTATAATCTATTCTTTTCATTTATTACGCCATGAGCATATTCCTGTCATTAAATATCCTTTTATAACATTATATTCCAACATATGGCTTTGCCATAATTTATTTAACCTATCTCCCTTCAACTTCATTTGTTTCCACGCATTTGTTTTTGTCATAATATATTGGGCTGCAGTGAATGGCATGATACTTAATCTTTGAACACATGCATAACTATTTCCTGAGGCTCATTTTATTTTTTATTACATAAAGTAGAATTTCAGAGCTGGAATGGCCCCTAAAGATCATTATATCCACAATCTCCTGTTGGCCAGATGGGAGAAAGGGGACCATAGAGTTTACTGTCTTGCCAGAAGACAAAGAGAAAGCAAGAGAACCAACTCTCAAACTCTCCACTTATTAAAATGTGACCTTCCCAAAGTCCAACCACAACTTCACGCCCTTTCCTGACCATCTTCACCCATGCTGACCTCTTCTTTCCCTGAAATCCTAGAGCCCGCAGTGTCAGGGCCATTCCTTTGGTGCTTAGCCATATTCTTTTTATTCTTCTACTAAATATTTAATTTGTTCGTCCAACCACAAGCTTCCTAAAGGTAGGTCTGGATTTTCTGTTTCCCTGTATTCTATAGCATAGTGCTATACACATCTAGGTAAGCATTCCACAAATACCTGCTGAAGGACCAAGATAATTAAGACTGCCCTTCCTCATTGCTTGGGAAAATGCAGTAACATTGGCAAAAGTTGGGGAGAGATACTTCTTTGAAGAGTAAAAGAAGTTTAGTTAGAGCATTCTGAGATATATTCAATTTGAAATTAGAAAAGCAGGCTTGGGAACAAAAGGCTGGGTTCAAGTTTTAGCTCTTGCCCATCTACATGAGCCAAGGCAATGCAGTTAACCAATTAGGGACTCATCTGTGAAGTAAGAATAACGCCACTCATCTTGCCAATGTCATATGAGAAAACGGATGTGAAAGTACTTTACAGTGATCAAGGTGGTCCATAAGAGATAGGATTGCTGTTGTATTATCATAAACAAAAATGCAGCTACTTCTGTGAGTCCCAGAATGGCCTCTTGACCCTTGCTCCTGGGGCACCATCTCCCAGCTTCTACTCTACACATATATCCTTAAGGGAATCTATGGCTGCACTCTTCAGGTAAACATCAGTGTTTTCTTGAAGAACTTCTTACACAGAAGGAACCAGCATTCCCAGTTCAGGTCCCTGGGTTTGACTAGTTAAGTCATCCACACTTCCTCATCATCCCTGTAACAACACAGACAAAGCACTGGACCAAGAGACTTGAGTTCTAGTCCTAGCTCCTTCACTCACTCCCTGTGCCTCCCCTCTTTAGTCCTCAGTTTCCCCATCTCTAAAGTGAGGAAGTCAAGCCAGATGATCTCTAAGTCCCTGCCCATTACTACATTCTAAGGGATTCTAAGATAAAAAACTAATGACATTAATAATAGGCAGAAACTATCTACTTCAAAATAGTCCTTTGGTCTCAGTTTGACTTTCACTCATTGGGTTTCTAAAGTTCTAAAGCACACACATTATGAATTCCAAAGCACCTGCTTTAAATAGAGCCCACGAGGTCAGAATCTTCCTGAGCTTGGTTGAGGTTTCATGATACACGGTCTCAAAGAAGATAGAGTAATGTACACTGTCACCCTATTCTGAAAAGGATGTTGGCCCCAAAACAGAAAAATCAGCATTAGGTATATTTATAAACTCAGTTTGGTGTGAATCAATGACTGGGCTTAGATTTCTCTAATGCTTAGACATCAAATGCAATAAAATATTTCTTGGTCTGTGACACTTGAAGAAAGGACAGTGGAAAAGAGGTGGTCCCTTTCACATGTACCATGCAATTCCCCTCTTTAGGCAAACAAAGGAACAAAAACTATCTCAATCGAAAGGGTATAACCAAGAATCAAGAAGACAGTGAAAGGGAAAAAATACTTACTAGAAAGAAAGAATCAGATTTCTAGGTTAAACGCTGCCATAAAGTCACTTTCTCTCCTCTTGGTTTCAGTTTTCTCATTTGCAAAGTGAGGAAGTTGCTTATTCCATCTCTGATTCTCTAAAACTTCCAAGACTCTAGGGTTTTAATAGGTGACACTAAAGAAAGTAAAGAATGTCAAAGAACTCTGTGTATTTGGTCTCACTTTTTTAATCCATATCTCTTACAAGACCACAAGGCTACTTTGGGATACTGCATGGTTCAGGGAAAACTTCCAGCATCCCAAAAGCAACTGTATTCTAGACATTCTGACCAACCCCACATTAAAGTCTGGATTTTGCATAAATCATCCCCCTTGAAATTCTAATAAATCACCAGCAACCAGCACTTCGCATTTATAAACATTAATCTTTCTTCCCTCTTCAGCAGAGTCCTGAATCAACCTGTTACCTATGTAGAAACAGTCATATCCAGCCCCACAGAGACCTCTGCTGGAAAGAGGAGAGATAGAGCATCTGACCTCCAGAGAGCTCAGGAGTTTTCAAAAGGCCGGAAGAGTTTAATAAGTATTGAAAAGACACATGAGCCCAGTTCTATGCTGGATGCTTTAATACATCATCTTACTTAATCCTCAAACCAGGTCAGTAATTATCTCCCTATTTTCCTAATGAGGAAGAAAGTTCAAAGAAATTGGGTTTATCCATTTGTCCAACATATACTGAGTGAGCAAAACTAAACATGCCCTTGGCCTCATGAAACTTACAGTCTAGTGGGAGGGGGAATAGTCAAAGAATCCTACAAAAAAATAGCACAAAGGAGAGGTTTATGGCGCTATGACACAGATAAAAGGGAAAAGTGACTAGTTCGAATGTTAAGAGAAAGTCTCCATGAGGAGGAGATGACTAAGTTGAGATATAGGGGGGAAAAAGGATTTAACTAGGTCAAATTGAAGAAGGGGTACAGTGACAAATGTGCCAAATAGAGGGAACATCAGGTACAAAGGTACTATGGTGTAAAATACATGATACGTTCAAGGAACCAAGCAGAGGCCAGAGCACAGATCAGATATAGGGATCAAAAGCCAGTATGGTGAGAACTGGGGCTGGAAAGGTAGGCAGAGGGCAGACCACAAAGGACCTGTAGGACCACTTGGGATTACATTTTTATCATAAGAGCAATGGGAAGCCATTTGAATGTCACACAAGGGGTTTGAAAAGACCTTCCAACTAAGGTATGGAGAACAGATTGGAGGGAGAGGGAGTGAATGTGGGAAGACCAGGATACCAGTAGAGGCCATTGCATGACTCAGGTAAGAGGTGACAGACACCTGAACTATGGTGGTGACAATGGAGATGGAGGGAGGAGGAGCTGCCCACACCACACCATCAGTAGGCTGACAGAGCCAAGATTAGCATCTTGGTTTGTCTGACTTCAAAGCCCATGTTTCTCTCTACTTTGCCATTTATTTATTCACTCAGGAATGAGTTACTGATCATCTGCTATGTGCCAGGCCTCTGCCAGTGCTGGGGATATAGCCATGAGCAAAACAGACACTCCTCTCATGTAGTTCACACTCTAGACTTAAATGAGAATACTAACAGATGTATACAATTACAGGTTGGGCTTACAATTACAATGTAGGATCAATAGTAACAGGTAAAATTACTAATAAGGCCACAAATATCTTCTAAACTGTTGATAATATGGAAGAGCCACTTGCCTACTGCATGAGAGGGAAAGACTTTAGGAAACTTTGCCTGTCAGATTTTGTTATTGAGCCCTGCATCCGTGGCGAGCTCATGAGCCCTCAGGGCAGAAACTAGTATGACTCAAGCTCAGCACTGACCCTGCTGAAACAGAAGTCTTTCTGAAAGCAATTACTAACTCCTTAGTTTACCTACATATCCCAACCTCAGGCAACATCACTTATGTATGCATTTCACAATAGTTGGAATATTTCACACAGATTCACTCATTTGAACCTCAGGACAACCTTATGTAGAATGCAGGTAGGTTTCCATGACCTACTTGAAAGATGAGGAAACTGAGGCCTAGACAGGTGCAGTGACTTAATCAACATCACCAAACTAGGAAGGCACCCAGACCTGACATCCAATTCTCATTAAAAGAATCTCTGGCCAGAAAATCATGAATCTCAAGACGAGACAGCTGCAAGTCACAGAGCCTGGAGGAAGTCACCCAGAAGTCCCATGAAGCTCCTAAGAACAATGATCAGGGACATTAAGCAGCTTGGGAAAGGTTTCTAGAATGCAGTGCCACCAGCCTGAGACACAGGTACCTTTGCCAACTCTCCCAGATTAGAACAAGTTCTCTTGGACTCTTTCCAAGTACCTCTGACTAACAGAGAAAAAGTACTTTTCCATCACAAACACTGCAGAAAGACACCAGACTCCAGAGAGAGGAGGGCAGAGAACACAACCCAAATCCCACATAGACAATCTATAAAGTTATTCTGATACCATGTGAACTGCCCTAGCTAAGCACCTACCACTGGGATGTCAATCTTGGGCAGTGTTTCTCAGTCATGACACTACTAACATTAGGGGCTGGATAATTCCTTGTTTTGCAGGGCTGCCCTTGCACTATATGATATTTAGCAGAATCCCTGGCCTCTACCCACTAGATGCCAATAGCATCTGCACATGAGCTCTTTTTTTAATCAATATCACACAGCTGATCCCTCCCACAATAAGACTGAGAGCAGCCTCTGTGCTGATGTGGCCTGCAAGTACATCCCAGGAACAATTCACCAGTGGAGCTTGTGAAAACAACCACAGTCAAATAACTCCTTGTTCCACTAATGAGCTGCTTCTGACCCTGTGAGGAAATCTTGTTCCCATTAATATGAGCAGCTGAGTCTCATTAAACAGAAGCCCTGGGTGCTTCTTCTCAATGACACCGGGCCAAGGCAAAGGCTTCTATTGCTGCTAGAAGGAATACAAAATTGGTGAATCAAATAATAGGGGACTCCCATTTACCCCAAATTCAGTACAACAATCAGGACACTCAAACATCCCAGCTTTTAACCACTCTGGACTTAGGAGAAAGGGGAATGTGACAATGTACATAAACAAGCGATCTGAATTAACAAGTTAATTAAATAGCTGAGATGTTACCAAAAATCATGCTCGCGAGTGGAGGTGGAGACCTGAAGTTTAGCTCCAGAGCAGCTGGGGTGACTCAGACAGTGTCAGGGACGTGGGTTCCAACCTCCCACCCTGAGATGGGCTGCTGGCCCAGACATGGGAATCAGCATCAGTTACAATGCTTCAAAGCTAAAGTCAAAGAAGCAACATCTTTATGTCTTTTACTCGTCAATTACCTAACTAGGTAAAGGGTTTACTGACAGATTCAACCAAACTCCCTACCATTTGGTAGTAAGTGTCTTTTACTGCACTGCAAGTCCTTGAAGACTGACTAACCACAAAATGCCCACCTGTTAACACCCAATTAGACTACAGCGAGTTTCCATGCTACTTTTGCACTCTCTACTTAGCTCTAGTGTTGAATATCTCATACTGGAATGTACTAAAATTGGATTACAGGTCTGTCTCCCCTAGTGGACAGTGGGCAAGATTTCCATCTAGTACAAGGTGTGGTACATAAACAGATCCTTACCATTTGTAAGATGGCTAGATGGACAGAGGAATGAATGGAAAGATGGGCAAATGGATGGTAAAGTTCTCCACCTCTATAGTTGTAGACTTAAGCCTACTGACACATTCTAATGGTAAGGCATGGCTCATGTCTTTTCTCCTCTGTTTCTTCAAGGTTTAACACATTGTTCAATAGGTGCCCAGTGAACATTAACTGATTTGACTCCTGAATCCAAAGAGACAAACTGAAGTCTATGAACCCAAGAAAGAGGTTCATGAACCCAGTGAGTCCCAGGAAAGAGGTCAGAAATCCTAGCTATCTACCCTGCTCCACATGCAGTTGAGTATGTTTAGTCTCTTTTAACTAGAAACAGTTTGATGTAGGAAATGAGCACATTCTCTGATAGGCAGTGGAGATACGGAAGTGAGCAAGACTAATATGGTGGCTTCCCTCACAGAGTTTATTGTCTGAAGGAAAAGACAGATATCAACAATGACACAAATAAACAACTACAATGCTCAGTGAGTTTAAGTTTCTGTAGATGGGCCCAATCTTCAAGAAGTCTGAATCTCTTTAAAGAAAGTCGTGATTTTCTTCCAAATGAATGACACATTTTCATTAGAGCATCCTCTGAGGTAGTAATAAGGAAAGTTTATTATATACCTCTGTTATACAGGCCTCTACTCTAAAATGTTCATAAAAATTTTTTAAAGACCAATTTAGAAGCATCATAGATATGAATGCTCAGAAGTCTATGTTTGTATGTATAGTGTGTGTGACTTACCACGGATAACTGAAGCTGATATGAAAACCTGCAAAAGCCAGAAATTTCTGAAATAACCAGGCATTTGGTAATCTGGAAATAGGAGTATAGCTAGAAATCAGACAAGAATAGGAAAGGGGACTCCTGAGCACCCCAGATCTTAAGAACTTCAATTGTCTGTCTGGAAAATTCTGTGGAAATTAGCAGGAGCTCTACGAAGGCAGGCATGAAGAGAGGCCACGAAAAACAAAATCTGACAACAAAGCCAGGAATGTCAAGGCCAGGAAAGGAGAACTGTCCTAAGGGAAAGATGGAAATTAGAAGAAGACTCAAGAAAAGATAAAGACGCCAAAAGCTGTATGGCATGATATGGTAGCATCTGAGGGAATATATGAGATGTCTGAATCAATGTACATAGTTTACTACAAACAATAAAAGTTTAAATCCAAATACCATGCCAATTAGGACTCAAAATAATGCTCCTTCCTCAAACTTGAGATATTTAACTTAATATTTTCTGATGCTTTTAATTTAGACTTGAGTACAATTAGAGTCATCTCTTCAGCTATGACAAGGCAAAGATTCCCCAACATCCTGGACAAATTTCTGGGTGATATGTGTTGCAATGGATTTCTTCTCAAAACCTCATGGACTCTTAGGACAAGAAAGAGTTAACCTAATCCAGGTTTGCCTTTGTGAGTACAAACCTGTGATCCAGAGAGGAAAAGCCACATACCTGGCTGTTGGCAGAACTAGACCCCAGGTCTTCCCCTTTCTGGTCCTTAAAGCTTTTCATCAATAAAAAGCCTTAACCCCAAGCATTCATGGTTATTTAGATAGCTGTCCCCCAACCGACCATAAATTCTATGCTACTCTCTCACCTGTCTGAGCAACAAGGTGTGTCCACCCACTCCAGATGGCAGTGACCTTTTCATTCTGAAAACAATGTGCTTCTATTTTCCAGGGCATAGGAAGGAAGGCAGCCTGGGTAACCAGCTGCCCATGCTTGTTGCTTCCCCAAACATACACCTCTCCTGCATCTTAAACAAACAGAAGGGGAACAAAAGAGGTAAAGGAACATTAGTCCTGCCTAGTTATGATGGAAGATAATACAAGTCTGAAAAAGAACTAGTTAAAAGTTTTATACTTATGCTACAATGTTGAGTGAAACCAAGCCAGATATGAAATTCATGTTTAGTATAATAATACACTATAAGATTTTTTTTAAATTCTATACATAAGAAACAAGGCCAAATGTTCTTAGTAGCTTAAGGAATAAGAATATGTGGGGTTTTTTCTTCATTTATTCATTCAACAAATATCTATGATGTGTGTGACATGTTTCCCTCTTTTCTACATTTTTAAAATATGTTTACATTACCTTTAGTTAGAAAAAAGTTTTAACTTTAAAATAACAGGCTAAAGGATATATTATCTTATTTTATATCATATTGTAATATTTTATATTATTAGTTTAAAAGATAAACTTCTTAAACATAAGATTACTTCACTACATACTCTGTCTAGCAGAAAATATAATGCTACAAAAATCACATCTGTGTGGCACTTTAGTTTGTTTCAACCTCACAATAATCCTGTGATATAAGCAGGAATGTGACAGCCACTGTGATTTAATAGAAAGAGAGCAAATTCAGAGTCAAGTGACTCTGGCTTCTATTCCTGGATGTGCTAACTAGCTATTGACCTTGGACAAATCACTTCCTCTCTAACACTTAGTTTCACCAGCTAAAAATTAGAAGGGAAGGCAGTTGGTCTAGAAGGGCAGTCAATACGACTGATGACATTGGCAACAAGACTAGTGGGCGACTGTGGCAAGCCAGGGAGCACTCACATTCAAACTGCTTTTTAAATGAAAGCCAAACAAAATGAGGCCATGGACTATAATTTAGCCTATGGCTTGTGGGTTTGTGACTCCTCAGAAGAGCTCTAAGAGCTTTTCCAACCCTAACATTCTAAGGATCTACTACTGTTCTGTCTAATATAATAGTCACTAGCTACATGTGGCTAGTGAACACTTGATATGTGGCTAATCCAAACTGATATATAAGTGAAAAACACATGATGGATTGCAAAGACAGTGCAAAAAAAAAAAAAAAAAGAGTATAGCTCATTAATGATTTTTATATTGATTGAATGTTGATATAATATTTTGGATATATTGGGTTAAGTAAAATAGATTATTAATTTCACCTGTTTCTTTTTACTTTTGAAATATTACTCACATATATTTCTATTAGACAGCACTGTTCTAGAAGATAAATTAATCAAGGCTGGAAGATGTTAAATGACTTTTCAATATTACATGACTAACAGGGAGTCAAGTGGGAACTAGCAGCCAGGTCGTCTGCTTTCACTGCATTTCATCACTTCCCAATAGAGCTTTATAGTGTTGCTTGCCCTAGGATAGTCTAGTACATTCCCAAAAACTGATCAAAAGTCAAAGAGTATCATTAAAGGGCATCAGACCAAGGTTCAGGAGTGTCCAGTTCAAGTCCCATCTCCTACCCCACACTGTTTGCCCCTTGGCACTTCATTTCACATTCTGGGCCTCTGTCTGTTCAACTCTAAAATGAGGGAGTGTAAATAAGTGAAGCCTTTTTGTCACCCAGGTGACACTGCAGCACTGACATTCTGCAGTTCTGGGAAGTGAATGTGATGTATCTCATATCCAGAGAGAGGACAACCTCCCTGGACTTAAATCAGGGTGTACAAATTATAAAAAGCCCTAACAAGAGGGCAAGGAAGCCCCCTCAGCGAAGTATCAATCTATTAAATGGACTGGAGAGCTCCAAAGTTGCCACTGAAGATGAAGCCTGTGTCTGTAATAAGCCTTTGTTTATCTTAGTACATCTAAACCATCTTTTTGAAAGACAAACTGTCTTCTACATGAGGATCATTACACTGTTGCATCAGCAGGTAAAATTAAATTCTGCTGCAATGCCAAATAGTTACATAATCTACAATGACTCCAGAGAAAAGGTCTAAAGAGCACGGAGCAAAATCCAAAGTGTAACAGCTTGAACTAGATGAGGAAAGAGGGCTATTTATCTTGACAATTTTAAACTCATCTTCAAAATATCAAAAACCAATTCACTTTGTCAATATACTAAAAATCACTAAACTGTGCACTTTAAAATGGTGAATTTCATAGATAAGTTACATCTCAAAAATTCAAATTCTATGTATTAAAAAACTCTATAATAAAAGTATCCCATGTATGAAATAATAAATTTACTAATGATAAGATTTTTTAAGAAATTAAGGTTAACAAGCAATTAGGCAATCTCTAAGTTTACATAATATCAGCCACTTCAAATTAATTAGAACAAAAGAGAAACACCTTTTAGTCTACTCTTATTCTCAGAAAAGAATGACTTCCCCATCCCTCATTGACTGTGGGACATGAAAAAAGTTGCTTCTCACCCTGGGGTCTCCTCTCCTTACTCTGTAAAAGGAAAAGTGAGACCAGATGCCCAGTGGAATCCCATACAGTTGGCATTTTCAACTCAACATTTTTTCTTGTTTTGTAACACAGTCTTGTGCATTGACATCATCGTAGTTCACTGCAACCTCAAACTCCTGGGCTCAAGTGATCCTCCTGCCTCAGCTTCCCAAGTAGCTGGGACCACAGGTGCATCACCACACCTGGCTAATTTTTCTATTTTTTTGTAGAGATGAGGTCTCACTCTTGCTTACACTGGTCTCAAACTCCTGGCCTCAAGCGATCCCCCAGCCTTGCCCTCCCAGAGTGCTAGGATTATATAAATGAGCCATGGTGCCCAGCGCCAACACTTTTAACAATTATATAAATCTACCTAATGTGAGACACAGTTTAAAAGCAGATGTTTCTTTTATCAGTTGTTTGTTTTAAATTCATTAAATAACAAATTATCTGTAGCTCAGAATTTGTAAAGTATTTAAACTCTGACATTATGGCTCCTGTGCTATGGAAATGACAACAGCTTCTTAGTTGGACATCGTTGCAAATTTGATGTCAAAGAATGCATGTCACCATTAATTTACATATTTTAGGTACGCATCTGAACTTCCACATAAAACACTAAGTATGAAAGTTGTCCTCTTTGCTTAAAAAAGGTAATGCATTCAAATCTGTGAGAAATCTTAACAAACAAAATAAATCTCTCAGAGGTAAAGTCTCCAGTCTATCAGCAAGGGTCTGGCAATCTGGGTCAAAGGGAAGGGATAACTGCCACTTTCAGGAAAATCTGAGGAAAATCCTAAGGAATAGTCATAGTTTATTGGCTGGGTACGTCTAATGGATGAATGGATATATAGCCAAACAGAGAGATACAGTGCAAGAGAAAAAAACAGATAAGATAGAAAAATGGGTCGGGTGAGCAGCTCATGCCTGTAATCCTAGCACCCTGGGAGGCTGAGGTGGGAGAGTCACTTGAGCTCAGTAGTTCAATTTCAGCCTGAGCAAGAGCAAGACCCCATCTCTATCAAAAATAGAAAAACTGGCCGGGCGTGGTGGCTCACGCCTGTAATCCTAGCTCTCTGGGAGGCCGAGGCGGGCGGATTGCTCAAGGTCAGGAGTTCAAAACCAGCCTGAGAAAGAGCGAGACCCCGCCTCTACTATAAATAGAAAGAAATTAATTGGCCAACTGATATATATATAAACAATTAGCCGGGCATGGTGGCGCATGCCTGTAGTCCCAGCTACTTGGGACGCTAAGGCAAGAGGATTGCTGAGCCCAGGAATTTGAGGCTGTAGTGAGCTATGATGATGCCGCTGTACTCTACCCAGGCTGACAGAGAGAGACCCTATCTCAAAAAAAAAAAAAAAAAACCAGAAAAATGGGTAATTCAAAGAGATGAAATAGAGAGATAAATTAGAAAAATATATAACAATATATAATAGAGAAATATATACATAAATAGAAATATATATATAATTAGATAGAAAGATACCAAGATGAAAGATAAATAAAATAGAGAGATATATAGGTAAATAGATAGAGAGAGTGAAGCAAACAGGGAAATAGATAATGGATTAGAAAGATATAGATAAAACAGTTTGAGATTACACAGCTAGAGAGTATAGACAGGTAAAAAATTTAGATAGTTACCTCAAACATCCAAATAGAATAGATGGATAAGATAGCAATATGTTACATATAAATTTACTGTTGATTACATGATTTGACAATCGCAATTACCCTAGGAGGAAGACATTCCCATCCTCATTGTATAGCTGAGAAAACAAACTCAGAGGAAAAGGAAGTGAGCCTACATTTGCTGTGAGTGCTTTACATGTATTATCATATTTAGTTCTCATACTACCCACAAAATATTTCACAGACAAGGAGAGGGTTTCAGAAAGGCACAATAATTTTCCTAAGGTCATACCAGTGGTGGCATCAGAATTCTCACTCCAAAATCTATGACCTTTCCTCTGTATTTCACTGTCACCACCCTGGGCAGTCACATACAGAATTCTGAATAGCATGTTAAACTGAGAAAAAGCTGGTACTCACCTGTTAACAAAGCTGAGTGGTCTGAACCAGCAAGAACACATATTGGTTTAGAATTCTCTAGACCTACAAAAAAATTTTTTTCTTTTGAGTTATATTTATAACAGAACACACTGGGCAAAGAGGGGACTGTCATCTAGCACCACCTGAGCATGGGAGAAACTCTCAGCCAGTACAGGCAGGTTGGAAGCCACCGCACTGGCCAAGAAGGTGGGTGGCATCGTAGGGAGCCTGGTAACACTCCAGGGGATTGAAAAATAAGTAAATATATTGAGGATAAAGGAGCCATATGCCTCACTATTAGAGAGGTGAGAAAAGTTACAGATATGAAAAGGAGGAAGGTAGAATCAACCATGTAATATTGGATAGTAACTGAAGGGATTAGTATAAATTCATGGTTTCTGATAGAGATAGATAAATATAGGTGTGTGTATGTGAAAACATGTGTGTGTGTTTGTGCATGTGTGTGTGTGTGTGTGTGTGTGTGTGTGTGTGTATTTCCTAGCTCTATTCAATGAAACGGTCTAGAAGCAATGACATCACAGACATTCAGGTGCCATTATGTGTAGGAACTTAAATACAAACGGGCCTCCTAATAACACACAGGCAAAACCAGATTTTACACTGGCCTACTATCTCCAAATCCAGCACTTTTCCTCCCTTAATTATACTGCTAAAAGAAATGTGATAGATATACACCATGGATTACTATTTAGCCATTAAAGAATGAAATTCTGTCATTTACAGCAACATGGATGGAAGTGGAGGACATTATGTTAAGCAAAATAAGCCAGGAACAGAAAGTTAAAGGCTGCATGTTCTCACTCTTAATGTGGAAGCTATAAAAAGTTGATTATATAGAAGTAGAACATAGGATACTAGAGGCTGGGAAGGACCATGAAAGGGAGAGATTTGTCAAAGGATACAAAGTTACAGCTAGATAGGAGGAATAAGTTCTAGTGTTCTATACCACTTTAGGATAGCTATAGTTAACAGTAACACATTATATAGTTTCAAATAGGTAGAAGGAGGATACTGAATGTTCCAACACGAAGAAATGATAAATACTTGAGACGATAGGTATAGTTATTATCCTGATCTGATCACCATACATTATCTGCATTGAAACATCACTATGTACCCCTTGGATATGTACAATTATTTGTCAATTTAAAAAAATAATTTTTTTTTAAAAGTTGGGGTAACTTGTGGTAACATGTAGTCTAACATGCAGATAAATGCAAACTTATTCTATATCTCTTTTTTACTCTTTTTTTCGGACACTGCTATTTAATAACTGTCTTAATAAAATAGGCCTTAAGACTCAAGTATCTCTGGAATGATAATAGGACAAAGCAGTTGCTTCCAGTCACATTCGTCAGAGAGCAAGGACAGAGCCCCCAGTGGCCAGAGAAGGAGGGGACAGTCAGGGTTCCAGCTCCAGAACTCTGGCAATGAGATAAAGGTGAAAGGATAGAAAGTGAAAGACTAAGGACAGGAAGTTAATGATCCATTCTAACGCCATATAAAAAACTCCCCACAGCAACTCTCAATCTCAACTGTGCCCTGAACAGATCCTAAACAGGTTATTAAATATAAATAAAATAAAGTAAAATAAAATAAAACATTTTTTCTTCCTTCTAGTTACAGGTCCTGTGTTAAAATATAGAGTGACACAGTTTCTGCCCTTTAAAAGCTAATAATCTTCAGCATATGAGAAACCATATAAACAATCCATAATACAACAAGTTGTGCCATCCATGCATTTGAAGCAAATGCAATGGTGCTGTTAAAAGAGGAGAGTCTTTACTGAGAAAGCTGTACCTACTAGGCCTTGACAAGTTCTTAGGATTCTAGGCAGAGGCATTTCAGGCAGAGGTAACAGTTTGCACATAAGTACAGCAGAATGAGAAAGCAGGATATGCCTGAGAAGCAGTGAATACCCTGATGAAGAGGGCAAAAATGTTTGGGAAGTATGAGTTTATATTAATATTATAAATGTTTGCAATGTCATGTGGACTACCTATACAGCATCCTATGCCACCTTCTGCTCCTTTTCTAAGAGTACCCTTCCCATTTCAACCCATGGGCTTCAGGGAAGCTAAGCCCACCCCCAGCTGAAGGAAAAACCCTCCAAGACTTAGAAACTATCAGAATGAACCCAACACTCATGTACATCACTCCCACTGCAGCCCACCCTTCCCTTTCCCTTTTCGTTCCCCACCCCCTTCCCACCACAGTCAAAAATCCCTGCTTTATTCTGGCTAAAGAAGAGTAGTTCTCCTGAACTAAAAAGACCTCTAAAGAGATGTCTCCTGAACAGGTTTTTCCCACAGCCAAGGCTCAGCAAACTGGGCCACAAAGTAAGAGGAAGAAAGAAAGAAGATGAGATGGAGATATGGTACTATATACAGAGAGACAAATAGCCATAGAGAGTAGAGAGAAAGGGAGATGGAGGAAAGGAGGAGGCGTGGGGAGGAGGAGAAAGAGGGGGAGGAAGAGAGGAAAGGGGGTGAGGAGAAGAAAGCCCTACAGACCAACTGACCAACAGATCTATGGGCAGAACGTGTATTACTTACTCCTCATATTTTCATGTACAGAGATTTCCCTTTGGGAACACTTCTAGTCCCTCTTTCGACAGCCTCACTCACTCCTGCTTCCCTTTTAGAAGGAGGAACTGGGCATGCAAGGCACAGCCCTGCTGGGTTCCCTCTTTGACATGTACCTGTCTGCAGAGAAAGTGTACCCTCATGTCCTCTTAGCCATGCAGCAAGCTTAGCAGGGCCAACTCTACGTAGTTGCTCCAGTGCCTGGTGGATAAATTCAAGTTGAAATTCAGAATTTAGAGGCTCACTATTACTACACATTATTTCCAACACCTAAATCATGTCTTCCAACCTAACTTTTAACAGTCCTAGAGCTATCATTTTGATCTCCCCTACCTGACTTGCATCTATCTCTCAATGGGTTCCAAACTCTGGCAACAAAGAGGGTTGCTTTTACTTGGCCCACAAAAACTCCAGCAAGCCAGGAACAGTGGCTTGCACCTATAACCCCAGCTACTTCATAGGCTAAGGCAAGAGGATCACTGGAGGCCAGGAGTTCAAGACCAGCCTGGGCAACATAGTGAGACCCTGTCTCTTAAAAAAAGAAAAGGAAAGAAAAGCAAACCAGCAAGACTGACAGACAGAGTTAGACAGAGAGACCAAGAAATAGCAAAAGCAAAAACCCATTCACTCATTTTCTGTATGTTTGTGTCTCTATTTCCTGACAAAGAATAAACATGAGATTAAAAAAAATAAGGGTCTCACCTGTCACTCTGCTTGGTTCCTTTGCTGTCAAAAACAATGGGAGAGTCTGCCCAGGGCACAACCGTCGTCCAGATGATGCCAGACCAGTCCCCCACTGGAACACATTGCCACTCACTTCTCAAGAGAGAAGAGAAAACAGAGAAAATGCACATCAGGATAAGACCAGATTGCTCTTTGAACCCCAATGCTGTTGGAAATTCCCAATTCATTCTCAGTGAACATAAGTGTTATGGAGAAGCTTCATCGCTTCAGTGGGTCTATGACTAGTCTATGAATAGTCATAGGGATTACCACCAAACCATTCACAAATCTAGCCTTCGGGGCAATCTAAGACCATCAAAGAAAGTTCCCATACAGTAAATAAAACTTCCTCCAAAACGCTTGGAGTACTACTTTGTACTACTCTGCAGTACTACTCTACAGTAGTGAAATCACTAGAATGAAACCTTGTTCATGATTAACCTGAAAGGACAACTCAGACTCTAGATCAAGCAGAAAATAACCTTAAAGACCATCAAGTCCATTTCTCACACTTACCAGATGAGAAAACTGAGCCCCTGAAGAAAGGAAGTGATTTGTCCAAGGTCATACAGGGAGGTAGCAGCACAGAAAATGCTAGGACTCTGCTCTCCTAACACCTAAAATTTCTCATTGCCAAATAAATATATATTTGTGACTAAAAGATAGCTTCTTAATAGCCACGATTTCAGTAAAATGGTCTTTTATTTTTATGTCCACTGAATATAACTCATGTACCTATGTTCTGAACCTCAAATGCATAGATGAAATTCAATGTATTTGATCCATAGTTAGGTGTATGCAACTAGGAGCTGTCACCCAACAGCAACGTTAAGGTTCTGCTCCTCTAAAGTATCCTATAATCTACAGACCTTCAGGCTATAAACAAACAAGCCTGCTTGGTGGGGAGAAAAAAAAACCTATGACCACTGAGCACAATGTGAACAAAGCACAGTGTTGAAATGAAACAAAACTTACAATCTATGTAACAAATAGATTGTTACATAGATTCCCCTTGCAATAGATTACAAGGGGAAAAAAAGAGAGGACAATAATTATAGAGACTTCAGATATGTGATAAGGATTAATATCCAGAATATATAGAGAGGTCCTAAAACTCAATAACAACAACAACAACAAAAACCCTTAATAAATACACAAAGGACTTAAATAGACATTTCTCCAAGAAGATATACAAATGACCAATAAACACATGAAAAGATTCTCAACTTCACTAATCATTAGGGAAATAAAAATCAAAACCAAAATGAGACGTCCCCTCGCATCCATTTGGTTGCTACTATGAAAAAAAAACAGAAAATAAAAAGTGTTGGCGTGGCCGGGGGTGGTGGCTCACGCCTGTAATCCTAGCACTCTGGGAGGCCAACACGGGCGGATTGTTCGAGGTCAGGAGTTAGAGCAAGAGTGAGACCCCGTCTCTACTATAAATAGAAAGAAATTAATTGGCAAACTAATATATATAGAAAAAATTAGCCTGGCATACTGGCATATGCCTGTAGTCCCAGCTACCAGGGAGGCTGAGGCTCCTGCTTGAGCCCAGGAGTTTGAGGTTGCTGTGAGCTAGGCTGACGCCACGGCACTCACTCTAGCCTGGGCAACAAAGCGAGACTCTGTCTCAAAAAAAAAAAAAAGAGTTGGTGAATTTGTGGAGAAATTGGAACCCTCGTGCACTATTAATGGGAATATAAAATGGTACAGCAGTTGTGGAAAATGGTATGGTAGTTCCTCAAAAAATTAAAAATAGAATTACTATATGATCAAACAATTCTACTTCTGGGTATATATCCAAAAGAATTGAAAGCAAGATCTCAAGGAGATATTTGTACACCTATGTTCATACCAGCATTTTTCACGAGAGCTAAAACATGGAAGCAACCCAAATGTTCCTTAACAGATGAAAGGATAAGCAAAATGTGATATATACATACAATAGAATATTATCCACCTTAAAAAGTATGAAAATGTTGGCTGGGCATGATAGCTCATGCCTGTAGTCCTAGCACTTTGGGAGGCCAAGGCAGGAGGACTACTTGAGGTCAAGAGTTTAAGACCAGCCAGAGCAGGTGCAAGACCCTGTCTCTACAAAAAATAGAAAAATTAGCCAGATATGGTGACATGCACCTATAGTCTCAGTTACTCGGGAGGCTGAGGCAGGAAGATAGCTTAAGCCCAGGAGTTTAGGCTGCAGTGAGTTATGATGATCCAAAAGCACTCGAGCCTGGGTGACAGAGCAAGATCCTGTCTCAAAAAAAAAAAAAAAAATGGAAATGCTGACATATGCTATTCCATAGATGAACCTTGAGCATGGTGAAATAAGTGAAACAAGGCAATCACACACACTGTATGATTCCACTTATCCACTCTTAGAGTGGTCAAAACCATAGAGACAGAATGTAAAATGGTGGCTACCAGGGGCTGGGGGGAAGGGAAGAATGGGGAGGTATTGTTTAACAGGGACAGAGTTTCAGTTTTATCATACAAAAAAGTTCTGTAGATGGATGGTGGTAATGATTGCATGACAATACAAATGTACTTAATGCCACTGAACTGTACACTTAAAAATGGTTAAGATGATAGGTTGCATGTTATATATATTTTACCACGGTAAAAAACATTTTAAAGAAAAATAAATTTTTTTAAAAAGAGAGATAGACTTGAGATACATATCAACCAATTGCAATATATAGACCTAATTCAGATCCCAATTCAAACAAATGGTAAAAAATATTTTTAAGACAATCAGGGAAATTTAAACACTGACTGGATATTTGATGATATTAGAGAATTGTTAATATTTTTTAGATTTGATGATTGTATTGTAGTAATGTTTTCAAATAGAGTACTTACCTTTTAGAGGTACATGCAGAAATATTTACAGATTAAATGGGAGAGAGGAGGACTTACAATTAAGTTAATCAAACACATTAATGGAGACTGTGCTACTTTTTAACTAGAGATGAACACATAAGACTAGCAATTACTGTGTTTCCCTGAAAATAAGACATTACCGTGTTTCCCTGAAAATGAGACAGGCTCTTATATTTATTTTTCCTCAAGAAGACACCCTAGGGCTCATTTTCAGGAGATGTGTTATTTTTTTTAAGTACGGTACAACAATCTACATTTATTCAAATATAATTAGATCGTCTTATTCTGGAACATCATCATAACTCTCCAAACCCCAATTCCATCCTGAATTTCTTGTGACTTTATTTCCTTTAGAACCACTGGCCCCAATCTCTCATGTCGAGCAATAGAGCTCTCATGGAGCAGATGAGAAGGGCTGCTCATCTTTACTGCTCCACAAGGAAATACATGGGTTATACAGATACGCTGCGTAGCCACGCCCATCACTAGGTCTTATTTTTGAGGTAGGGCTTATATTGTGCAAATGCTGCAAGCCTGCAGATCCTAGAAATCCTGCTAGGGCTTATTTTATGGGCAGGTCTTATTTTCGGGGAAACATGGTACATTTATCAATGTTTGGCAAACCATGTATCTGATAAGGAGTTAATTTCTAAAATATAGAAGACACTCCTGTAACTCAATAACAAAAACTTCAAAAACTTTAAAATGGACAGAGGACCTGAACAGACATTTCTCCAAAAACGTACAAGTCAAGCACAGTGGCTCACACCCATAATCCCAGAACTTTGGGAAACAGAGGCAGGAGGATCATTGGGGCCAGGAGTTCAAGACCAACCTGGGAAACACAGCAAGACTCCATCTCTAAAAAAATTTTTAAATTAGCCAGGCATGGTGGTGCGTGCTGGTAGTCCCAGCTACTCAGGAAGTTGAGGCAGAAGGATCACTGAGCCCAGAAATTCAAGGTTACAGCGAGCCATAAATGCACGACTGCACTCCAGAGTGGATGACAGAGCAAGACTCTGTCAAAAATAAAATTAAAAACAAAAACAACAGGCCGGGCGCGGTGGCTCACGCCTGTAATCCTAGCTCTTGGGAGGCCGAGGCGGGCGGATTGCTCAAGGTCAGGAGTTCAAAACCAGCCTGAGCAAGAGCGAGACCCCGTCTCTACTATAAATAGAAAGAAATTAATTGGCCAACTGATATATATATAAAAAATTAGCCGGGCATGGTGGCGCATGCCTGTAGTCCCAGCTACTCGGGAGGCTGAGGCAGAAGGATTGCTCGAGCCCAGGAGTTTGAGGTTGCTGTGAGCTAGGCTGACGCCACGGCACTCACTCTAGCCTGGACAACAAAGCGAGACTCTGTCTCAAAAAAAAAAAAAAAAAAAAACATATAAGACAGGTATATGAAAAGATGCTGGACATTATTAATTATCAGAAAAATACAAACCAAAACTACAATGAGATATCACCTCACATCTGTTAGGATGACTATTATAAAAAAAAAAAAAAAGAATCATGCCACACCTCAGCAGAACCATGCCATGCCACACCATGCTACTCCTGTAGTCCAATTCTCCACCACAGACCTGCTAGCCCCAAGCCACTTACCACCACATACCACCATTACACCTAACGTTTGCTCCTGGGTAGAGCAAACTCCTGCAGCCCTGACATCTGCAGCCACCACCTAACAGCATTGCCAAGCAACTACTGTCACTGCCACCAAGAAGACCCAGGCAGAGCAATCTCCCGCAACTCCTGCCTCCATAGAAAAGGACTCACCCAGCCACCTGCCCAAGCTTCCAACAGTAGCCTACAGACCAACCCACTACTCCATACAGAGATCCTCCACCACTAGCTTGGACTGTGACAACCACAAGGGAACAGGACAATATAGAACAGGTACATTACAAGATCACAGTGCATCTGTCCCTCTCCTACCAGTCAGTCTTCTGAAATAGGACACAAAAGCACCATGTGGAGACCTTTCCTTCTTCTCACTAAATAGGAGTTTTCCCAGCAACGGAGAACAGGAGTACTTCAAACCCACTGCCCTGAACTGATAGAAGATGAGAAGGAACCAGCAAAACAACTCTGGCAACATGAAAAAACAAGCTGGTTTGGCATCCCCAAAGGATCACAATAGACCTACAGCAACAAACCCCAACAAAAGAAAATTGTCAAAATGTCAGAAGTGGAATACAG